GGAGTTTTTAAGACGATCTCTGCATTCTCTGTTCGACAGTTTCTTGCTAAAAATTGCATGGTTCCGCTGCCTCACGCACCTATTCGCCTGCCCTGGCTCCGTGCCACTTTTTTCTAAATTCCACGGATGAAAAGGGGCATGAAAAGACGATATTGAGGAGGTAAAGAAAAAAACGAGGGAGGAGCTGTCAGACATTTCTAAGGAAGGATTTTTATACTACAAATGTATAGGATGGCTCTTGTTGGGGACTTCGTGTGTCATTTTTTCCCTCTCCATCTTCGTTTCCTCAGGTTACACCCGTATCCGGATGTATGAGCATGCGTATCTACTTTTGTGGTTGCATATGTGCATGTTCATTTCGGGCCTGATGAAGCCAACAAGCAGAGATACGTATTGCTCCGGTTACATATGCTATTTTCTGCTCGGATCCACCTTTCCTTTTTGCGGATTTTGCCCATTATTTTACTATTTTTGTTATATAGTTATATAGTTTTGAAGTTGAGTCATTAATGATGTAGAAGGAGGATAAACCAAAATATGTGAGTAAAAATAAAAAAAAAATGAAAAAAAATGTTATCTTGTTTTATAAAGTATCCTCCCGACAAGTATTTCAGTGCGGACTTGTATTTGATCATGCGGTCTTGGAGCACCGGCATGCCCTCCCCTGTGAGGTCTTAAGTCACCTGATTCACGAGCTCTTTGTACTACATTAACAAAGGCACGAGGGTTGGTTGCACTCGATTGGGAAACCGATCCGCATAAATCCGTGATGCCGGGCAGCATTTTGTAAAGGACTCCCCCCCTCCCCCCCCCCGTAAATAAGAATCATGCCCACAAGTCAGCATTTTCGTAAACAACATGTGCCATTTTTTTATTTCGTTTGAGCCACGCAACAAACGCCACTATTCACTCACGCGTTACCGACTGACACATTGACTGAATACAAATGAATAAATTGTAGTAAAAACATCGTGTTAAGCGTTCAAATTCTTTCGCTTTTTTGTTTCCGATGCGATGAACCGATAAGGCGGATTATATCCGTTGTTGCCAAACACGAGCACATAATATTATTATTGAGACAGGGCGGTACTCAAACTTCTAAAGGGCTATAACTTTGTTACTTTAATTTCACCAGAAAAATGTTAAAGGAAAAAAAATCTTTTGATCAGATCTACTCACTGTTAAAATAAAATGACTCAACTTCGAAGTCACCCTGTATATATATTTGTCATATACAGGGTGACTTTGAAGTTGAGTCATTAATTTTCAGATAATGATTGTAGAAGGAAGATAAACCAAAATATGTGTGTAAAAATAAAAAAAAAAAAATAAAAAAAAATGTTTACCTTGTTTTATAAAGTGAGGTGCCCTGTGAGGTCTTAAGTCACCTGATTCACGAGCCCGTTGTACTACATTAACAAAGGCACGAGGGGTTGGTTGCACTCGATTGGGAAACCGATCCGCATAAACATGTGTCATTTTTTATTTCGTTTGAGCCACGCAACAGACACTATTCACACGCGACTGACACTGATTGTATGTATAACTGAACTGAATGAAATAAAAACATCGTTCCAAATTCTTTCGCTTTTTTGTTTCCCATGCGATGAACCGATAAGGTGGATTATATCCGTTGTTGCCAAACACGAGTACATGATATTATTATTGAGACAGGGCGGTACTCAAACTTCCAAAGGGCTATAACTTTGTTACTTTAATTTTACCAGAAAAATGGTAAAGGAAAAAAACATTTCTTTTGGTCAGATCTACTCACTGTTAAAATAAATGACTCAACTTCGAAGTCACCCTGTATATACATATAACCCTATTTTATGCAAATTAAAAATTGATAGGAACATTTCACATTTTACTGAATAATGTTTCTGCTTACAATTTTCACCGGACTTGATACGATTTCCGTTAGATTGCCTAGTTTAGAAATCTGATTTGATATCACATTTTTTATATAAAAACATTTTGTTTTTTCAGCAGATCTATTTTGGCCACTCTCATAATTATTTCAGACCGTCCTGAGGAACAGATATTAGCGCATCACTAAACATTATCACGGTATGTAACTCAAACCCTAATAATTCATGCCGAGTACAAGTCCTTTTACGCGTTAGTATGAGTGAAAAGTTCTATCGAAAAGTAAGCAAAGTATATTATAACATCGAATTCTTTGCTACTAATCACAATGCACTTCTGAACTTCGCTGGGGTTAAAATAAGACAGTTATCATTATTATTATTAAAATGCAATTAATTTGAAACAAAAAAACCTACTTGGAGCAGAGTCAATAGGATCAGGTATCCAGCACTCCCAGTTCTCGTCATCATCGTCTGTTGGTGTATTTTCATCTATTCGCACAGCTTCACCATTTACTAATTCATACGCCAAGTCGTTTGGTCCTTCTTCCGTCAAACTACTAACAACACACCTAAAGAAAGTGAATGTAAGTAACAGAAGTTCCAAAATGGGTGCAGAAATGACGCATTTTTCTAATGGACTCTGAAGCAGTACAATTGCTATCACAAACATTAAAAATTGTACAAGATGTTCTAGATTTGACTCTCACCATTAAGACACGATGTCGGCTGGACGGGGACAAAGTTGCGCATTTATGTAACTAAGAAAATGTCAAGAAAGTTTCGCAATTCTGTGTATTCAGGAGATTCACGAAGAAAAATTTAATTTCACCAAAATCGCTTTTATTTTCTCCTTACTCTGTACTCATGACTCAGCTATTTTTTTTAATTGGTAGGTTTAGCTTCGAAACCATGGAAGGTCCGTTGATGATATCCGCGATGAAGACAACGTTCTTCAGAAACGTATAGCAACTTTTGTTTTTCTTATGCAATGACCGGTATGGAAAACAATTTCCTGTCATTTTTGACATTAGAAAGTCCATTGAGTTTTGTTATTAGAGATAATATAAATATGATTTATTTAACTAAAAGTAAGAGGATTTAAATTCTAATATTGATTAAAGTTAGTGTATTTGATATTCCAATGAAACAACAGAGAAATTAAAAACAAAGAAAACGATAAAACAGTTAATTCAAACTTCAAAACAAGATAAAAGTCATATTAAATGTTTAAACTGCCGTACATATGCTTCTTGGCTGGATAAGCTAGGTATTGCAGAAAAAAGTACATTTAGAACATTTTGAAGACATCCGCTTTCCTCGATTCTTCTACATTCATTTTCTATTCGTTGTTTCATTCCTCCAAATCAAATGGTTTGGTTTTGTATATTAAATTTTTTAAGTACCCCCACAAAAAATAATCGGTAGGTGTAGGGTCAGGAGACCGAGGTGGCTATTCAATCCCACCTCTTCTAGGTGTCCTTCCAAAAAAATATTAGATCAAAAAATTTGCAAACATTTCGAGCGTACTGCGGAGGTGTACCATCTTGTTGAAGTCATATTCTATCGTTGGGCGCTCCATTATTTACTAAAAGAAAACTATATTGATATTTTTTATTGTTTGTGGCAATACAGGTTACCAAACATTGGGAAATATTTCCGTCAAAGCTGCGACAACGTGATTCCTCAAAAGATGCAAATATCTTTCAGCGTTTGAATTTCCATTCATGAAAAACGGATCGATTATCTTTTGACCTATGATACCGGCCCAAACATTAATTTTTTGTGGATATTGTGTATAATGTTCCCGTATCAATGAGGACTTTCCCTGGCCCAGTAGCAGCAGTTATGGCGATTAAGAGTTCCGTTCAAAAGAAAAACTTTACTTCGAAACCATGGAAGGTCCGTTGATGATATCCGCGATGAAGACAACGTTCTTCAGAAACGTATAGCAACTTTTGTTTTTCTTATGCAATGACCGGTATGGAAAACAATTTCCTGTCATTTTTGACATTAGAAAGTCCATTGAGTTTTGTTAGTAGAGATAATATAAATATGATTTATTTAACTAAAAGTAAGAGGATTTAAATTCTAATATTGATTAAAGTTAGTGTATTTGATATTCCAATGAAACAACAGAGAAATTAAAAACAAAGAAAACGATAAAACAGTTAATTCAAACTTCAAAACAAGATAAAAGTCATATTAAATGTTTAAACTGCCGTACATATGCTTCTTGGCTGGATAATCTAGATATTGCGGAAAAAAGTACATTTAGAACATTTTGAAGACATCCGCTTTCCTCGATTCTTCTACATTCATTTTCTATTCGTTGTTTCATTCCTCCAAATCAAATGGTTTGGTTTTGTATATTAAATTTTTTAAGTACCCTCACAAAAAATAATCGATAGGTGTAGGGTCAGGAGACCGAGGTGGCTATTCAATCCCACCTCTTCTAGGTGTCCTTCCAAAAAAATATTAGATCAAAAAATTTGCAAACATTTCGAGCGTACTGCGGAGGTGTACCATCATATTCTATCGTTGGGCGCTCCATTATTTAGTAAAAGAAAACTATATTAATATTTTTTATTTAAAAGATGCAAATATCTATTGAATTTCCATTCATGAAAAACGGATCGATTATCTTTTGACCTATGATACCGGCCCAAACATTAATTTTTTGTGGATATTGTGTATAATGTTTCCGTACCAATGAGGACTTTCCCTGGCCCAGTAGCAGCAGTTATGGCGATTAAGAGTTCCGTTCAAAAGAAAAACTTTACTTCGAAAACATTATTTCGTATAAAAAATGTACACATGTCCATCATGGTTACACAGAATTATAAACGCCTATCAAAATCATCATCTGATCTTCTTGAACCAAGGTGACTCTGTAAGGATGTAATTTTTCCGTCTTTCAAATGCGTTCCACAGACATGTGAGATGTATTGTTATCTTCACCAAGTGTTCTAGTAGAAAGGTGGGGGTTTTCCGCTGTGCTCTCTAAAATATTCAAAGCCTTATTTTTGTCAGTGGCTGTTTTGGGACGGCCAGATCGTGGAACATCCTTTACAAGTCCTGTTATTTCAAATTTCCTCAAAACTTTTCCAACAGTAGACCTTGTTATTGGATTCCAGTTGGTATATTTGCCGTTGAAAATTTGGGTAACTTCTTGCTGTGTGCGTCGACAACCGTCGTAACCCAGAATCATTAGAATTTCTATTCTCTCGGTTTCAGTTAAATGAGTCGTGCATATTTTTATGGCGAAATCCGTTAAATTTTGATTTTAAAGTTACGTAGCACTGCGTGAAAGGTTCTAGCATTTTGGACTTAATAGCGTTTACTTTGTTATAGATAGGGAAACATTCTGTACACAAACAAAATTTATTTTAAATAAATTATACCGTGATATTCGTTTTATGTAAATATTTTATCAAAAAATCGTGGAAGCAAATTGCAAGCTGCACCAAAATATAGTAATTACTTAATAAAGAGATTTCCATATAATATTTTCTTTGGCCTAAATTTTAGGTTAGGGACAAGATATCGAGATGCGGTTTTCGCGAGCTTGTTTAGAAATCATCTAACTACTTCTTCATAAAAAAATCATACCAATGCATTTAATTTTTTTGAGAAAATTAACCATCTCTGTCGGAATGTCCAAAAAAGTCCTCTATCGGCCACATGTGAAACTAACAAAACTTCAAATATACTAAATGACATAGAAAATGCAACACCTAGGAGTGCTGTAATTTTGAGCATACTTTTACAAATTTTAGGTCTACTGATAAATATAAAGTGATCAAAATTTTAAGTCGAAATTTCGCAAAATAGCTTAGATATCCCACCTTAATGTTAATAACGTTTTGGAGCTCACGTTCGTTAAGTCGTCGCGGCATTGATTGGATTAGGTGATTGATGTCTTCTTGGTCTATTGTATATCCCAGGCCATCTGAATTAGGTTTCGTAGAGCCTCCAATGTTTGTGGAGGGTGCGGTGAACTTTGCAACCTTCTTCCCATGTCCCATATATGTTCGATGGGGGAAAGGTCTGGAGATCGAGGAGGACACTGAAGCAGATTTACTCCGGACGCTTCTAAGAAGTCTAAACTAACACGTACGACATGAGGTCGTGCATTGTCCTGCTGAAAAAGTGGATCTTGCAATGTTTCCAAAAAGGGAAGCAGATGTGGTTGTAAAACTTGGTGGATATAGTGCTGGAGGGTCATGCTACCTCGAGAAAACACTAATCAGGATCTGCTGCCGTAAGCAATGGCACCCCATACCATAACACCCTCAGTGCGATGAATATGCCGTTCGATGGAATATTGGATGTTCCGACTTTCACCTCGTCTCCTTACTCTTGCACGGCCATCAGACTTAATTTCTTCATGGTGGTTGCGAAACTGTCGTAGTTTAAATGTTTCTAAGAGTAAAGTTGTGTCTTATACAAGACAGACTAATTATTTAATATATGATGATTATAACGTCAACGGACAGGTTCTAGACAGATGCTACTCTTTTAAGGACCTTGGAATAACCTTTGATAGCAGGCTAATATTTAGCGAACATACAGGGTGACTTCGAAGTTGAGTCATTTATTTTAACAGTGAGTAGATCTGATCAAAAGAAATGTTTTTTTCCTTTACCATTTTTCTGGTAAAATTAAAGTAACAAAGTTATAGCCCTTTGGAAGTTTGAGTACCGCCCTGTCTCAATAATAATATCATGTACTCGTGTTTGGCAACAACGGATATAATCCACCTTATCGGTTCATCGCATGGGAAACAAAAAAGCGAAAGAATTTGGAACGACGTTTTTATTTCATTCAGTTCAGTTATACATACATTCAGTGTCAGTCGCGTGTGAATAGTGTCTGTTGCGTGGCTCAAACGAAATAAAAAATGGCACATGTTTATGCGGATCGGTTTCCCAATCGAGTGCAACCAACCCCTCGTGCCTTTGTTAATGTAGTACAACGGGCTCGTGAATCAGGTGACTTAAGACCTCACAGGGCACCTCACGATCAAATACAGGTCCGCACTGAAATACTTGTTGGGAGGATACTTTATAAAACAAGGTAAAAAATTTTTTTTTATTTTTTTTTTATTTTTACACACATATTTTGGTTTATCTTCCTTCTACAATCATTATCTGAAAATTAATGACTCAACTTCAAAGTCACCCTGTATACTTAATATCACATCGGCTGCCACCAGACTACTTGGCTTCTGTATTAGTAACTGGAATGAGTTCTCCAATGTCAGTACATTAATGACTTTGTCCGTTACTTTTGTCAGAAGCAAGTTGGAATATGCAACCCTGATCTGGTCTCCAATATACCTAAATTCAGTTTCAATGATTGAATGCATTCAACCTAAAGCTATTAAGTATTTTTACCTGAAATGTACTGGTTCTTATCCAGAAAGAGGTTTTTGTCATCATACCCTTTTGAATTTTTTTGATTTAGATTCACTATCAATTAGACGTAATATGTTTGCCTTATCGTTTTTATATGACCTTATGCACCAAATTGACTGTCCGGATTTACTTGAAAAAATATATTTCCGCATTCCAAGGCCTTTAATGTGACTCTTTATTTTCTTTTGGTTAATGTATTTGAGCTTTTCCTGTAATTGGGTTTTAATTGTAGGAAATATGAAATGAAATGAAATCATGTGTGCCCAAACAGAATCTGGATTCATCGCTGAACAGGACTGAGTTACATTCAATATTCCATTCAAGTATCTCCCTACTACATACCAATCGTTGCCGACGATGCTGTGGGGTCAGAGGTAGTACAAGATGGGGATGGCATGAAAACAGTCCAAAAGACCTTACTAGGCGATGAACTGTCCTTATTGTTATTGCCCTTCCGACAGCATTAAGCCACTGGTTCGCAACTGCCCTTGTTAGACTAATCATATTAGACGAAAATACCCCTGGTTTGCGAAATAATTGTAAAGTCTGGTTTTATTACTGCAAGTTGTTCAAGGCGGTATTCAAAACATGGACGTATAAAATGGGTACACCAATTTTTGTGGGAAAACTTTTTATTCGACAACAAAGAATGAGAAAACGTGTTTTTTGGGATTCAATCCAAACCGTTGGCAAGAACGAAAAAACTCTTCATGAAAGATTTTTAGGTATTTATTAGACCTACGCAATGAGACCACACGTAAAAAGATAGCAAAAAGGTTATGGCCGAAAATCGAGCGAAACTGCAGGTTTTTTCACTTGTTGGTAATGCGACGATGGTTTCTCGCAGATATTTGAAATTCTTCAAGTTCGTTGGACTCATACTTCTCAAGTAGTTTTTGAGAATTTCTAATTGTTTATCCCAAAACACCTGTTTTCCGGCCATCACTACTAGTTTATTGAGCAATATTCAGGGTTAGTTCAAAGGGCATTTTATAGCAGAATGCACTAGTTTACATGGCCGATATGAATCGCAAACCCTTCCGGAAGATAAATGTTATTTTTATGCAAAAAAGGACGGGTTACGTTATTTCTTCTAAACAAATTCAAGCATTTCGCATTTGTGAGTAATTCGCAACAAAAGTGAAAGACACAACCGCTTTGTTTTAAAATTTGTATAGTAACGTACGTTTTTCGAATATCGTAGCGCATTTGTTCAGTTACTCACAAATACGAAATGTTTGAATTTGTTTAGAAGAAAAAACGTAACCTTTGTTTTTCGCATAAAAATAACATTTATCTTATCGGAATGGTTTGTGATTCATATCGGCACGGTAAACACGTGTATTTTACTATTACATGCTCTTTGAACGAATCGTGTATATTGCTCAATAAACTAGTAGGTATGGCCGGAAGACAGATGTTTTGGGATAAACAATTAGAAATTTTCAAAAAACAACTTGACCGCTATACTCCAATTTTGTTGTTGTTATTTAGAAGTATGAATCCTACGGATTTGAAGAATTTCAAGTTGTTGCGTGAAATTATCGTCGCATTACCAACAAGTGCCAAAACCTGCATTTTGCCTCGTTTTTCGGCCATAACATTTTTGCTCGTTGCCTCAAATCAGCGTATACTTCCATGATAGCAAATATGATTACAAGTTTTTATCAAGATTCAAAAAACAATTCTGGATGTTACATTTTATATGTCACTTAGTATATTATAACATTTGTAGCCCAAGAATAACTATTTTCAACTAGCCCAAATTAGTTATAATCGGCTAAGCCGTTTCGAAGATAAACAGTGTTTTTTACAGAATCCTTTGAATACCACTTTATTTTTAGAAATACAGAAATATTGTCAAACATAAAAAGTTCACATTATCTCGACTTTAAAAGATCAGGGTAATGAGGATAAAGATAGGGATAAGGATAAATAATGGCCAACCAGTTAGTCACGTGTTTGAAAATTATCAATAGGAGAGCGATACTAATGCGCCCAGCGGCCATTTCACAGCACTCAAAATCGGAATTAGCATTGATATTCAGTATACACATTACCTGACAGTGTCTTCTCTACTCCTCAGGTACTGATGTACTGGCTGTGTTACTGTCTCCAATAATAAACCAGTAGAATCCAATACTTTGAGAGATCTTATGGCAGCAACATAAGCAGTCAAGATATCAGGTGTACTCACTCCTGGATGCAAGAGACGAGTTTCCATAGCTTTCTGTAGTGTTTCTGTCAATAAGGGCTTAAGGTCTGTCTTTGGGAGGGCATCTCTCAGATCACTTAGGGCAGGGAGAGACTCTGGATATTCTACAAATAAAATATAGAATTAGTTTTTATTGGGTAATCGATCGATAGCTCCATTATTTTAAAAGATAATAATTAAAGACAGTTCTGGGCGACTATAGCTCCTTGTTTGAAAAATATGTCGCTCTATACAGGGTGATCATAAACTCGTGGCATATATATACAGGGTTACAGGAAAAGTCGTGCTAGATCCGTTAAGGGCGTGTAGTACCCATCATTTCTGACTTATTTCATTATGAAACACCCTACCCTAAACTTAACCCTTTTCGAGATATTCAACTTTTAATGTTTTTATTGAAAATTGCCGATTTTTAGGCTACTAAATGTATTTATTTTTATTTTTTGTGTGTTATTATTACTATTATTGCATTTTAACATGTGTAACAAGATGCTTTAGGACGTCAATCATTAAAATAGTCCATAAGTTAATTGAATAGGCCGTAGTAGATAAGTGAATGTTAAGAAATTGAAAAAAATATCAGAAAGTTTATTTTTCTCGAAGGGATATCTAAAAAAAATATTATGGCAATTGTTCGGCAGATGTGTTTTAAAATATCTATGTTTTATCAGCTATCTAACGAGGTATAACAATCTAGGATTTGTATTACATTTCGTAGAAAAAAAGTAGTTGGGACGCTCCAGTAGCAGTTCCCACGCCTATTCTCCTTCAAGTTTAGACGCACCGTGCGAGCGAGACATGACGATTTAATGTGGGTGCGAATGAAAGAAAACATATTATAATAACCGGTTAGGGCTGGAAAGCCAACACGAGATGTTGTTTTGGTTGTCAGTCTGCTTTTGTGCTTCGTACATAGTAGATGTGATATCGTTTTGCTCTTTTCCTCGACTTGGCTACGATTCTGGACTATTTCTTCTGATTTGTGAATACTGTGCTTGCTCACTGGACTCTGATTTGTACTTGTGATACGGAAGTGTTGAAGATGACGTCCTACACACCTGAGGAATATGCTGATATGCTTATTTGTTACGGATACTGCGATTGTGTATCTGCGCAAGCTCGCAACGAATACAGAACTCGCTTCCCCGGTCGTCGAGTGCCGGATGTGGCCGTTTTTAACAGAGTTTATCTAAGACTTCGAGAAACTGGCTCTGTTTTGAGACGAAATACAGACCTGGGAAGACCACGAATTTATGACAACGAAGAACTGCAGGACAATGAGATAGTGCAACGCTTTCGAGCGGATCCGACCATTTCCACTAATCGTGTTGCCCGTGATCTGGGACTTTCGCAATGGAGAGTGTGGTTTACAGTGCATACTGCTGGCCTATACCCGTACCATTACACGCCGGTACACACTATTGAAGAAGAAGACCCCGCGAGAAGGTTGGACTTCAGCAGATTTATGCTAAATGCTGACGTAGAAGACCCAGATTTTCTAAGAAATATCTTATGGACAGATGAATCCAAATTTGATAACGATGGCATAACTAACTATCACAACGCCCATTACTGGGCCCCAAAAGTACTAAGGAATCCCAATAAGAAAAGAGTGGCGAGGTCCCAACGAAGATTCAGCGTGAATGTGTGGATGGGCATTATCTCCAACCATTTGATTGGACCTTACTTTCTCCCGGACAATCTAAATGGGGAAAATTACGAAAACTTCTTGAGAGGAGACTTCAGAGATTTGCTGGATGATCTGCCACTCAACTTGAGAAGGGACATGTGGTTCCAACATGATGGCTGCCCTGCCCATTTCAGGAGAAGTGTCAGAGACTGGCTGGACACAAATTATCCAAACAAATGGATAGGACGAGGTGGGCCGTTGCCATGGCCAGCAAGAAGTCCGGACCTAACCCCCATGGATTTTCATGTGTGGGGGTGCATGAAAAGTCTTGTCTACAGCGAGCCAAATCCAGTTTCGTCTGTGGAAGAATTAAGAGAAAGGATTGTCGATGCAGCAAATCAACTAAGGACAACGTTGACCACTGCAGTTGTAAAGACTGGTCTCCGTAGAAGGATGCGACAATGTATTAGAAACAGAGGCAGCCATGTTGAACATGAACTGTAGAGTAAGAAAAAGTTGTGTGAAAACCTGATTTAATAAATGATATTTCATGCTTACCTATTGTTTTATTTTACTTTTTAGGGCTAAGTATCAATTTTCTTCTCCACTGTCGCCTATGAAACTAAGTTTTTTCAATGCATTTAAATAAAATCCTAGATTGTTATACCTCGTTAGATAGCTGATAAAACATAGATATTTTAAAACACATCTGCCGAACAATTGCCATAATATTTTTTTTAGATATCCCTTAGAGAAAAATAAACTTTCTGATATTTTTTTCAATTTCTTAACATTCACTTATCTACTACAGCCTATTCAATTAACTTATGGACTATTTTAATGATTGACGTCCTAAAGCATCTTATTACACATGTTAAAATGCAATAATAGTAATAATAACACACACACAAAATAAAAATAAATACATTTAGTAGCCTAAAAATCGGCAATTTTCAATAAAAACATTAAAAGTTGAATATCTCGAAAAGGGTTAAGTTTAGGGTAGGGTGTTTCATAATGAAATAAGTCAGAAATGATGGGTACTACACGCCCTTAACGGATCTAGCACGACTTTTCCTGTAACCCTGTATATATATATATATATTGAACGTATATTTGTATATTTTAGTATATTCTAGATAATCTCTTCAAATGAGGAAGTTTGATAGTCTAAGAAAACTAGCTTAAAAACCGCCGATCAGACCAAATAATTCCTGAAGTTTTGGAAATTGGCAGAGCTATTCATTGAAGTGCCCAGATTAACATACTACAAGTTCTGGGAGCAGCGGTGGAAGAGGGCAAAATGTATCTTTTTGCAGGTTTTTGCATGCATCCCGTAAACTATTAATGATAATATATAAGTAAGAAAACCGGCAAGTTTTGTTTGGTAATTACAACATAATCTCTCCAGAAAGGACAAAAGATATGTCCTCTAGACTTTCTAGGAAGCTGGGAACCCACAAAGCATACTGACGAATGGGAGTCGCAGCATCTTAGACAACATGGTCGTTCATCCATTCCTTCATAGGTGGCGCTTCCAATAAGTTGGCGCCGAATGGATCAGCATAATACACTTTTTTATATCGAAGCAGCCGCGCAGGCAGAAGCCTAAATGCCGGAACACCGCGGCTGCTATGATGATCCCAAAGAAATTTTGTTAATACGATTTTTGAACTGCCTAAGGTTAGTAGAACTGGGAAAAGCTTCCACAGTCTCGACACCCTCGGGACAAAGGAGTGGTCGAATCGCCAGTTCTGGATGTACGAAGTTCACGGTTAGGATGGGACGCCAAAGTCGGGCGGGTCTGTCTTTCAGGCACATCGCGCGGTGGCATCATGGAAGAGAGCTCTGCGGAGCAAAACCCGTTGGTATAGCGGTAGAAAAGAGCTAGATCGCCGACGGCCCGCCGGTGCGAAAGAGTCCCGAGACTGTCTGTTAGAGAAGAGTAATCGATCAGTCGGACCGCCCTCCTTTGGACAGCATCGAGCATACATAATGTAGTGAGCAATACTCGAGGCTAGGCCTTATCTGAGCCTTGTATAGAGTAAGAAGGTCATGCGGAGAAAAGTACTTCTTAGCCCTAAACAAATACCCTAGCTTTTTCCCAGCAGCTGCCGCTATGAATGTCTCTTTGACAGATCTCGGCCATCTATCGAAACCGGATGAGCGCCAGGACGCTTTTTGTTCGTCAAAGTACAGTACTGTGGTTTGGAAGCATTAAACTGTACAAGATTGTTGCGTCTCCAAGCAGTGATGGTCTCCAGGTCTCTTGTCAGAGAGGAAGTCGTCGCTAGTCTTCTTTTTTCCAGCTCAGTAGCAGAGATCGGCTTGTCACTCTGAATTCCTGCATGTAGAGTGCTGTCATCAGCGAAGCTGTGGATTGGGTTGATCGTGCAGGAAGGAAAGGAGGTCGCTGATATGTAAGAGAAACAGACGTTGTGGGGTGAAGAGGAGAACCCGTCAATTACGACGAATATCCTGCTGCCAGAGATAAAGTCAGCCACCCATCTGCAAAGCTTTTCTGGGAGCTCATATGATTGGAAGTTTGCATAAGAGGGCAGCGTTCCACGGCTGATCGAACGCTTTCGTAATGTCAAGATCAACGACATGAGCCTCACCATAAGGCTGGATGAGTTTACTCCAAAATTGCGTGACGTAAGCTAGGAGGTCCCCTGTGGATCGCTGGTGCCGGAAACCCATACTGTCTGTCGCTAGTCAAGCTGTGACGTTCGAGGTAGTCCAGAAGCTCGCTGCACACCTCTTCAGTACTATGGCAGGAATCAAGTCCGAACCAGAAACTTTGTTGATATCGCGCGACAAGAGCACTCGTCTTATGGTCTTATGCCTGAATGTTACCTCCCGCATAGTGTAGGGAACCCTTTGAATTGACGGCACTTGGGCGTTGAAGGGAGTGAAGTCGGCAGCAAAGATCTTGGCAAGCACTTCCGCCTTGGCCTCTGAATCGGATACAATCATTCCATCGTGACACGTAAGTGGTGGACGGCTACTGTGTGAGAAGTTCTTTTCAATCTGCTTGGCCAGCGTCCAGAAACACGGACTGCCATTGAGCTGCGACATTACCCTGTGCCTAACTTTCATATCTTGCTGGTTTTTGTCATTGCGAACCGCTTCGTTATATTTGTGTCTGGACTCGACGTCGGCTTGGTTGTTCTCTACAGTGAAGTTTTGTAAGAAGGTTCTATGTGCCTTGATCTTTTGCTGGCGAGCAGTGTCACACGATTTGTTAGGACCCTGGTTTAGGCACTTTCACTGTGAGGGATGTATTCCTCCATTCCGACGTGGATAATTTCGGTTATCGAAGAACAAACAGCCGACGCATCTGCGTCAGTGAAAGAGACATCTCTCCAAGGAAAGGTAG